CTGGACGGTAGTCATTGAAGCAGGATGGAGACGACTTCTTTGGGACTGGAATGATGGTGGTAGCTTTGAAGCCTGAGGGGACTGTTGCATGTGCATGTGGGGACCCAGGAATGTTGTCAGGACCCGGAGCTTTGCGTGCATTGATCCTGCTAAGGGATCTCCTCACGCTGTCCGGGGACAGCGTCATCACCTGGTCGCCGGGAGGAGGTGGAGTCTTCTGTGCTGAGTCTGTTTCCTGTTTTTCAAGTTTACCCAGGTCCCAGTTCCTGCCTTGGGTTCCTGCTCCAGCCTGGTGGTCTTCTAACCCGCTCCGCCGTGGGGATCTTTGGAGCCGTCTGCTCAGCTGTGGTGGTCCTCAGCTCCACCTGCTCTGCCAGCTCCACCCTGGTTCTCTGCTCCGCCCTGGCTTCCTGCTTCGCCAGTTCGGCCTTGCTGCTCTGCTCTGCCAACTCTGCCTCAGTCCCCGGTCTCTCCACTTCTACGTGGACCTGGCCCTCCGTCCCTCCCCCTGTTACGCCTCCGCCCTCCTGGATTATATTGAGTTACGAGTGTCTGGAAGCCGCTCCTTGGGGGGGGCGGGGGCTATGTCACGAATCCGGTCTATAAACTTCCGTTCACTCACCACCAGAGGTCACCCGCTCTCCACATGGACTCTCACACTACACAGACTGTTACACATCACCCTGGACTACATTTCCCATGCTTCATTATACTAATCACAATCTCACCTGAAACCAATCACACACAGCTGCTACCAATAACACACACTATATAAATCAGTCTCACACCACCATTCAACGCCAAGTATTGTTTAGCGCATATCTCTCTCATAGCGATAGCTACTTTACGGAACCACTCCAAGTTTCTTAATCTAGTATAGCCTTGTTCTTAGTCTGTTTACCCGTGTCTTTATCCTTGCCTGTTATCTCGTTTTGTCTGATCTCTGCCTGCCCTGAAGTTTATAGCCTGTTTTGGAATTACCCTTTGCCTTGCTGTTTCGAACTGTGTTTGCACCTTGCCTAGACTCTAGCTCGTCTTGTGGATTCCCCGTTTGCCTCGCCCCCAGGATTACGTTCGCCGGTGATCGACCAAGCCCATTTACTGGACTAACTCTTGTGTCTTGCCCTCAATATACCCGTTTGCCATTGTTTGACCCATGCCTGTTATGACCACGTCTCTTAATAAAGCCTTGCATATGGATCCGCATGCCTCTCGTCTCGTCACCTCCATCATAGAATACTCGGCCACACAAGGATCCAGCAGCTTTTCAGAGGAACATTGGCCAGGTATGGACACAGCACATATAT